TAAGAGATCGCCGCATTTTCTTCCTTCAACCGGGCTTTCGCCGCAAAAAAGAACCTTGTCAGCAAGATTATTGGCAAAGCAGCATACCAGAGGAAGACCTGATGAGGTCGCAGACTTTTTTCCAACGGCCCAACAACGAACGATGGTTTTCTACTATGAGCATCACCCCCTCAGGAGGACCGATGACGGAAAACTAAATCCCGGTCGGGAATTATAAGCTGGGGCGAATGGTCCAAGAAGCCGCGCCCACGCGGGTCCAGCTCACAATGACAAAACAATGTACGTCTATACCAAGCAATAAAAAGATATCTTCTCATCATCTTATCTCCGAACAAGGAAATCTCAAGTGTATCCCCGACAGGGCCCCCCTCCACCAAATACATTCTGAAATACTTGGAGACTTAATGCCTACAATTGGGCACTCGCACAATCTCAGGGTCGAAACTCCGGGCTCATAAAGCCCCTACAACCCAGCTCTGAGTTCACAAGAAGCGGACTTCACGCTTAAACTACTTGATTAATTGGAGACTGACGTCAATTGCCATACGATGGAAAATCCGAAACTATAAGACCCTTAGCGGGCAGACTCGGCATGACCAAGTCCATTCTACATCGCTGAAAAAACTGTAAGACCTCAATAGGAATGACAAACTATAAGACCTCAACAAGCATGAAAATCCCGATGTTTAGGCTTTACGTCGCATTTGTAAGAATCCCGAAAGGGCATACCCTTAGTGTAGACGCCTAAGCTATCGCTCGGGATCAAAAATGGCTACGGCCAAATGCACACGACTACGGTCAAAAAGGCTGATACAACCAAAATAATGTGATTCGGGGATGCCCGACCGTCACTAAAAAAAAATCACAGGCCACTACTTCGAATATAATTCAGAGAGAACGGGTTAAAATAGGCTTCCCTCAACAGGCAAAAATCGAGCTTCGACCATGTCAACTCCAAATAACAAAGTCTTTGACCTACGCAGCCTACGAGTTCTGAACCTTCCGAGGTGCTCGAAATATTGCAGATAGTGACTTTAAATCGAGGTTCTTCCAGAACCAACAATGGGTCAAGAAAAAATCATTCAAAAGACCTTAACGAGAAGAAAATAAAGCCTACAAAAAGCCCACGGGCAAAAACCACGTAAGAGCTATTGTCGCCAGCTAAGCAAGCCTACGGGCCACATATCAAAAGGTCTCTACGACCAAAAATCACAAGAGCCATTGTCGCCGGCCAAAATTGACAACTTAACGATTAAAGTGAGCTCGAATAGTAACCCGATTCGGAGACCGGATCCAAAATAGTTAACTAAGCATGCATCTGGTCACATATGGAAGGTCTCAACGACCAAAATAGTGTACGAAGCACTACCACCATTCGGGAAATCGAAGGCACTTAAGGGTCAATTAAAGCTCGAATCGCAATGTGATTCGGAGAATGGACCCACAATAAGCACAAAACTATAGTATGACTAAGTTCACAACATAAACGCCACGATTGCTAGCCAAGTGAGCCTCTGGGCCACCTTCCTATAAGGTCACTTCGACCCGAGGCATAGCAGGCCACCATAACCCTCCCGTACAGGCAGGGAAAAACTTAAGGGTCAATTAAAGATCGAATCGCAAAGTGACTCAGAGATTGGACCCATAATAAGCCCAAAACTACAATATGCCTAAGGGTACGACATAAACTCTACGACCGCCAGACGAGTGAGCCTCCGGGCCACCCACCTACAAGGCCACTACAACCCAAAGTACGAGAGGCCATCTCCATCTACCCATGCAGGAAGGAAAAAACTTGAAGGTCAGTTAAAGCTCGAATCATGGCAGGACTCGGAGACTGGACCTGAACGGTCGGACAAAGCATAGAGGTCGCAACGCTTTCTCGCATCAAGAATCACACCTAGGAGCCTCGGGGCTTCTTGATTGGTTCTGGACCTACGAGGATCCCACAAAATATCGAAACTGGTTTGCCTTGTCGAAGGAAATAGTGGAAAAGAGATGCAGAAGAAATAAGGCTTCAAAGTGTCCTCTTATATTACATACGCAAAAAAAGGAGGGAGGGGGACGCACTCTCCATAAACAGACATGTTCTACATGTACCAAAAACAAAGCGACAAAACGGCACAATCTAAGATCCATTTCGAAGGGCTATAGCTTGTCGGGCTCACTCTCCATCTCATCAGCAAGAAATGACAATGCGTCATGCTCGTCTGCCCTTGCTCGATTCAATTCATCAGAAAGAATGAAGCCCCTCATGCCAATCTGCTCGAGTACTTCTCTTAGGGATCTGTAACGGACATATTCCTCGATAATCTTCTCCCGGTCGAGAGCTCGCTTCAGCTCGGCTTGAGCATCCGTAGTGTCCTTCATACGAATTTCCATCTCCTGATCAGTGTTGATTCAAGTTAGCATCGCCTTAGCCCGGGCATCAATTATTTTGGCCATAGTCTTCGAAAGTTCATATTTGAATTTCTCGATCATATCTGCTTGGACTTTGGCATTATCTCGAGCCAAACAGAGTTGGACTTCGAGGGCGGGGACCTTGGCCAAGGTGCTTGCCTCCCCTAAAGCATGAGGTTGAACCTGAGCCCTTTGCTCACCATAAGCAGTTCTGGCGCGGTCGATATCGCCCTTAAGGTACTCCATAGCCTTCGCCTTTTTCTGCAAATTGATATAACTAAAATGGGCGTTAACTTAAAGAGGCCGAAAAGAGCAATGCTCGTGCTGCAAAAAGTTGTCTGCTCCATCAAATAACTCTCGTAATTCGAGCTTCGGTACGCCTCACATCGCCAATGCAACAACTCGCCCTCCTTCTCCTCGCTAAGCAACCTAAGAGATTCTCTCTCACCCTGAATTTTCTGAAGCTTGACCTCTTGACGGACCAGCTCAGATGTAAGCTTGTCACAAACGTGCACACGGAAAACTCAATGATGGGTGGAAAACTCAGAGTACAGAGATATTGCGCCTAAACTCACAACGAAGTTAAGCCAACGGATTTCCTTGAAGTCGAAAAATACTCCTGTTGCTCCTGCCTCTTTAGCCCTGGGAGAACCAGCCTCGGGCAAAGCATATTCATTCGAAGGCATCGCTGACCTAGAATCGGGTACTCCGGGGGCAGCAGACTTAGATAATGCCCCCTCCTTGGGAACACTGGCCCGATCAACACTAATAAAAGCTCCATCATCTTTTGGGTGCTGACCCCTCTTATCGCTATTTTCCCTCGGTTCGGAGATCAATGACTCCTTCCCCTCTTCGGAAGAGCACTGCCTCATCCCAAGGAACCACCCGATATCTGCAAGCGGAAAATCCAGTACAAGTAAAAGGGGAAAATGTTACCTCAAATATATGAAGGCCAAGGAAAAGGCAGCATGCACACAAACCTTGGTATTTTGCTCCTAATCTGACGCAAACCACAGCTCGCCAATGATGCTCATCGCAGGCCGAATGGGCCACCAGCCTCCTGACCCACTGGGCAGGTAAGAGACTTTGCCCGGCATCCATGAAAGTTCTACAATAAGGTAAAAAACACTATAATTCAACTGACTTTCGCTAAAGGTACAATCTGAAAAGGCACCAGACGCTCCACTCACATGCATAATTCCAGCCTTCGGGAAATGGAAAAAACTCCACGGGGATAATGTCGATCGTCCGGACCCAAACAAACCAACTAGCCCATTCTCGACCCCCCTCCTCTTATCATTGACAACAAAGGGTGTGGGTGAATAGCACTTCAGGGTTAGCAGGCCCTAGTGATGGAAGGGTGGGTATAGCCTAACAAGATGATTAAGCGTGAATTCAAGATCGGCCTTCTCCGCAAAGAACCTCATCATCAGCACCACCCACCAAACCGACGGATGTATCTACGCTAAAGTAACCTGATACTTCAAGAAAAAAACAAACACGACCCTGTCAAGGGGGCAAACGTGAAAGGATATAGGTATACGCTCAAGAATCCGTCAGTGGAGTCTGTAATACTCTCTCCCGGGAAAAGCACCTGCAGCGCTATCCCCTCACTCCTTCCACAGTATTTTCTTACCATCCCCAAATACTCTCCCCCTTTCAAAGATACCGTGTTCAGAACGAACTCCCTCGGCTACCAAGCGCCGTGAACATCACTATCCACTCTCTACCATGCTGGCCCCGAAGTGCTTGCCATGACTATGGTAAAACTAACAGATCAAAGCAAAGGCATAAACCAACTCTTTTGCACTTGAATAAATGAAGAACCCTATGCCAAAGCGGAAGAGTAGCTACCTAAAATAGTGAAGCCTTGTGAAGGAGCCGATGTCGCCCCACTTATATGCTAGAAGCAGCAACGACTCGCCTACCCGGAGTAAGCTCTGAGAAGCTTATAACATCGGTATAGTCCAACGGGATGATACCCGACTTCGAAAGTATCCTTTGATAAGAAGAAGAGACTCGATGAGTCGTCCATATTATCTCCAAGCTTGAGATAGCGTCCTTCCTCGAGGATCCCCACCGAAGAGAAATCGGACTTCAAAAATCTTTCCACGCCATCACTCAACGCGAGGTAATATCTGATATCATGATTCCCTTTCTAAAAAAGAAGAATAAACACAAGAAGCTCCAACCACAAAAGCTCCGCAAAGGTTCAAAGTAGCGCCTGAGTGTAGGCAACTCCTCAGTAAAAAATCTATCCTGTACGTTTCTAAAGGAAGCTGTCTGTATTAAAGATCAAAGGGGATCCCTTGGTACCCGAAGCTAGACTTTATATAGGAAAATATTCTCGAAGACCCCAAAATCTGGCGCATTATCTCCATATAATTCGAAGGGCCGTGAAAGCCCGGGCCTGACCAAGCCATCCTAGATTGCTTCGAGGTACGATGATGGGCTCGAAAGAGAGCCATGATCAGTAAATAAGCAGAAAGGATGCTCGCACCAAAGTCAGATATCAGCAGTCCAGAAGTAAAAGAAGGCATTCAAAGGGCTTCGAGGGGTATGAAAATATGCAGTTACAAAGCAAAACTCAAAAGAAGAAATCAAAGGAATATATTCATGTTCATAAAATTCCATCTACAACGACCCCGAGAGATCCATACATATGATTACAAAAGCCCACAAAGGGTCTCTACACAGAAGCAAAGAAACAAAGGGGCACATATAGTGAAGGCGTAGGTCCTAGCTTAAGCACTCAAAGACCCACCACGGCGTCAGCACCTCTAGATTCCATCTCCTCCGGGCGCATGAGCTCGAAGAAAATATCTTCCAAGGAGCCATCGGAAGCACTTCCCCGGCCTTCCACACTGATATCCCCAAAGGGTAGCCAAGGCATACACTTGAATCCCACAAGAGTTCAAATGTTAGAATTTCAATGAAAAAAAATTTGTTTAACACCTTCGAAAATTGATCTAAACTAATAATTCTAGCACTACTTCTAAGTTGCAATAAATAAAATCGTTAATTCCCCGACAACTTTGCCAAAATTTGATCACGCCCATCTATGCCTTCTAAAAGACAAAGCGGTCGTTGCAAATATAATCTGGTTTTAAATTCGGAGTCGAATCCTCAGGGAACTAACCTATCTATTACAAATCTTGGCAATGTTATTATCAATTCAAACAAATTCCAGATGCAAGATTTTGATCAATAAAGATTGGGTTTTTGTTTATATACTTCAAATGATATTAAAAATAACAATATGCTCAATCAAAGATAATTCAATGGTAAAAAGGTCTAGGGTATTAATTTCCCCAATTGCTAGTTTAAGTCTTAAATCTTTTGCTATAATCTCACCGTAATAATTCTATGAGGATTATGAGCTATGGGTTATCTTAATTATCTCTCGATCAGCTACGATAATTTACTCAAGCATTCTCTCGAACTACTCTAGCTGACAATTCGTGCACCTCTGAATTATCCCACCAAAGTTTCGTTATCTCTAACCCCACTTTTAAGTTCAAGTAATGAATCTCTTCAATTACTCAAAAGTGGTATTGTTCAACAGCAATCTAACCTAGTATTCTTTCTCAAGCAACTCAAGGCAATTAGACACGATTAATCAAGGGCCATTCAATTAATCACCGTACAAAACGTAGTTGAACAATCATATAATAAATCCGGATCGCTTATAACAAATTTGAGTCAAAACCTCATCAAACAATTGGTTCCATTAACTCTAGATTAAATGTTTAGCTACTCATAACAAAGCAAGAAAAAACTACTAAATTGTTCGTAACGTGTAATTGCAATAATAAAGAGAGATAGAAAAACTCTAATGTTTTGTTGATTTTCTCACACTTGTTCTTGCCTCCAAAGTAGTCTAAAAATAGCTTAATAATTTCTTGGGCGAGCTTCTAGAGTTTATAAGGGTTAGGAATAAGTTTTTCCCGAGTTACACTTTGGTCCAAAAAATTTCTGGCAACTGCACAGTTCACCGCGGCCGCAGCAGACTGCGGCACGACCGCGGTGAGAGCCAAACATTCTGCCTCGCGTTGATGGCCTGTCGCGGTCCAACGCGGTCTCAGTGGATTCCAACATAGTCCACTTTTTACTTCATTCTGCTCGGGTGCTTCTTGATTGGATGTTTTCTTAACATTATTGACTCCGAAACACTCTATAGTTCTTCCTAACTTGGATTAGTCCCTGCGAAGCAAAAGAATACCAATTAGAGCATTTTGTTATCATTTCGCCTATAAAACAACAATAAATCATGGTATAATTAAGGTGTAAATATCATCTATACAGCCTAATATCAACTGGCTACTAAGACTCCGGCCTGATGAGGAACTTTCATGCTTGGCGACCATTTTTGGCTTTTCTTCTGTCTTGACAATGGATACAACGACCTTCAGTGCTGGATCAAATTCCCCAGCTTCAGAAATCATTCCGACTATTGGCCCGATGTTGTGGGCAAGCAACAAATTGTTCATCACATTAGGAGCTTCTTCATCCCGAAAAACAATTCTTTCAGCTTCAATCAAATCTTCAACTGCCCTTTTGAGGGTCCAACAGACCTCTATACTGTGTCCTACTGCTCCATAATGGTATTCACATCTCATATCAACTCGGTGCGAGGGGGACTCGGGGTTTGGCCGGTTCGGGGCCACTAGCTGCAATAGATCTAGCCTAATTAGCTTTTGGAACAAGCTTGAATACGATTCACCAATAGGGGTGAATTGAATCTTTCTGAAAGGCTATCTTGGGCTAGGATTGTATTAGGGATCATTTCTTTGAGGATTATATGGAGCTTGGTAAGGATGGGCATTTCTGGGAGGTAGAGCTCAGTTTTGTGGATAACGTTGTGGTCGTGGGTAGGGTTGCGCGTTCATTACCGCATAGGGAGGCGGTGCCACGGCATAAGCAGCATCTTGAATGGGATAATAGTGTGGTGGGACCATAGGAGGCACATATGATTGGCTGAATGACTTGCGCGCCCCCTTCGTGCTTGAAACTATCATGGCTCCCTCCTCACTCTCATTTTTGTTCATCAAACCATCCAAACAATTTTGAACATCTGGTGATGTGGCTTTAAAAGCAGCATGACTCAGGATTCGACCCGTTTTTAGACCATTTTCAACCATTTCCCCAATTTTGATAGCCTCAGCTTATGGCTTACCCACAACAGACATCATGTTCTGGAAATAGTCGGGCTCTTGGACCTGCAGAGAGACCGTGACCATTTCATTTTCGTCCATTGGAGGCTTTACCCTGGCAGCTTGCTCAAACCATTTGGCAACATATTCACGGAAGCTTTCCGCGGTTTTCTTTTTCAAATTGGACAAGGAGTTTCTATCGAGAGCGATGTCCACATTATATTGCAACTTGCAGACAAAATCTCGAGCCATGTCGTCCCACACATTCCAATGAGTAAGTTCTTGATGCGTATATCACTCAGAAGCGATTTCGGTGAAGCTTTTCCCAAAATAGGCCATTAGCAGCTCGTATTTTCCACCAGCACCCCTTAACTGGTTTTAATATCGTTTCAGCTGAGCGACCAGGTCTCCATGCCCGTCGTACTTTTCAAATTATGTAAACTTGAAGCCAACTGGCATGTGGACATGGGGAAACATACAGAGGTCAGAGTATGAGACACTCTTTTGGCCACTCAAACCTTGTATGTTTTTCAGGCTTTGTTCTAGGCTCTTCATCTTCCGAGCCATTTCCTTTTGCTCGGGATTTTTAACAACTTTTTCTTGCTCCCCCAAGAGATCATATTGTAGAGGTTGAGTGAAAAGAGTAAGGGGTCACATATGTTATTTCTGATTGAAGTTGTGGACCTTGAAAGGTGAACATTGGAGGCTCAAAATACGACCGTGGTAAAGTTGGTTATGTTCTGGTGCAGACTAGTGCTCTAGAGAACAATATTGAAGGTGCCCAAAAAACTGGCGCCTGGGGATGAACCGCAGGAGGCATGCCAGAATCATTGAACGGCCTTGGAGGGTGCCTGCAAGAGATGAGCGAGTTGGGCACAGGGGCATTGGTAACCTCACTTGACATGGGGATCATCTCAGGGAACCGAGGGATTACACTTGGTTGTTCCCTACCATTAGACCAGGCATCCCACATTTCCAATATGCGGAGATGCAATATCTTATTCTCCTCACTAGCTACTGATTCTAGCTGCGGAATAGCCGATGCCGGGCTTTCCTCAGAACTGATGATTGGTAGATTGCTTGCGGAGGCCATCTGTGCCTTTGGATCTTGTCAAGGAGGGGAGGCTAGACTACCGACAAAACCAACCACCAAAACCGGGATAACTTGAACATCCAACAACCTTGTTAGTTTTGAGATATTAACAGATAGGGAATCGCACGTTTGGATGCAATGGACCTAGCAGTTAAACACATCTACCATGTGTTTGAACGGTTGCATGTTTCATCCCGGGCATAACTAACTCTCTTTTTCACTCAATACCTCTTTTCTTTTTTTTATGCTTCTTTTAAATCACTTCTGATTTTGTTTTCACTTTTGCCGCTCTTTTATTTTGGCACTCACTTTTTCTCCCTTTTTTAACTTTTTTAATTCATGTCGCTCCTTTTTTTTCTTTTTCACTGAATTTTTCTTTCTCTCTTTTTATTCAGATTATTTTCACTCAATTTATTTTATGGCTATGATCGAATCCGATGGGGATTGCCTATTTATCATGACCCCGCATGAATCAGATCTTGGAAAAGAGTAAATAAACTAACTCTTTTTTTTGTTTTTTTTTAAAAACTCAGACAATGAAAGCTTTAAGAAAAAAGAGAAAAAAATTTGATTTTTTTGTTTTGTTGTTTATTTTTCTTTTTGGAATTATCGAAAGAAATGCTTTAAAAGAAGAAAGGAAATATCTTTTTTTTTTGAAATTTTGATTTTGATTTTTCTTTTATTTTTGAAAGAAAAACTTCTAAAAATTCCTTTCCTTTTGATTGGAACTTTGGGAAATTCAAAAGTAAAAAAAAAATATTTTTGATTAAATTTTCATTTGTTTTCTCTTTTTCTAAAGAAGAAACAAAAAATTATTTTTTTTTGGCTTTTGAAAGTTGCCTCATAATTTTCGAAAGAGGGACTTTTAAGAAAATATTTTGGATTTCTGAGTTTTATTTATTTACAAAGGCACTTCTAAAGAAAAGCGAAAATATTTTTGGACTTTTATTTCTTAATTTTGTTATGCACATTTACAAAAGAAAGACTTCTAAATAAGAAAAGAATATTTTTTTGGATTTTTGTTTTTTTTTTGGATTTTTTTTTTTTTGGGAAAAATACTTCAAAATGAAGGACGCCCATTTTATTTTATTTTAATTTTTTTAAGGAAATGCTTCTAAATAAAGAATTAAAGAAAAATATTTTTTTGATTTTTTTAAAAAGTGGGGCCGGAACCGATGAGGCTTGCCTACGTATCTCATATCTGGTGAGAATCAGACCCACGTAGTTCGGTATCTTTTGACACAATTCTAATAATGATGTTTGACTCACACTTTTTTTAAATTCATTTTCCTCTTCTCTCAAAAATTTTGGCAGAGTTTTGAGATATTTTTAAATACCGGGATTTTTGGAATCGGGTAAATTCTCTATCCTACTTCACTATTAGTTTTTTTGTTTTCATTTCCTTTTCCTAGCTGGTCAACATGCAAGCTAAAACATATAAATATTCATGTAGCACATAGGATGCATCAAGAGAGTCTTTTATTTCGAGTACACCTATCCTAGACGTACTCAACCCCTGTGTTGAGTCCCCAAGGTCAAATGCACATGATGCAAATAATCGTTTCTACTAGCGATCCAGCATGAGGTTGCGTTATTCTAGGTTTAAAACCCGGGGTTTGTGTTCTAGACATGGCTTACCCGAGCGGACAAACTCAAGTCGATGAGGGGGCAACGTACCGAGAGCACGAAAGTCTGCCCGGCCTTGTTGCTTGCCCAACCCCATCTTATTTGGGTATAACTCGAACAGAAAAGTGAACCACGTGAACATGAGCACCGTTTTTTAGAAGACTCAGAAGGGAGGCGTAAGAAGGCATTTCAATACAGTTCAACTAATATAAAAGAGGTAAAAATGGCAATTAGCACATTGGGTCCATAAAATACAGTAATATCAACAATAAATCCGGTTGAGGGTTCTTATCCCCAGCAGAGTCGCCAGAGCTGTCACGTCTCTTTTTTCCACCCAATAGAGGTGTATGGGAGTTTTTTCAATTAAAGTGACATTATTCGATATGGGATTATTTAATTAATCAGAGTCGCCATTTGGAATAAATTATGGTGTTCCAAGTCACCGGTTTATGTTAAATCCCAAATCGCAGAAGTTTTATTTTTAAAGAGTCTAGAACCAGAAATTCTAGATAAGGAATTATGTTAACCCGGAAGAAGGTGTTAGGCATTCTCGGGTTCCGTAGTTCTAGCACGATCGCTTAGTAATTGTTACTTGGCTTAAATTGTTTAACTGCTCATTTTTAAGACCTATGTGCATTTACCTTTTACCGCTTTTAATCACTTGAATTATTCGTATTTAAAGATTTGAGTTATGCGTACGTATACGCTTTTCCTTCGGCGCATCAAAGATCATGTCACACGGAATTGTCCACAATTAATAACGCTTTGTTTATTTTTAGAAAAGTTTGGTTGAAGTTGCGCGAACGCATCCCTCGAGTTATTTTAGATTTAATTTCGCAATTATGTTACACGAACGTATACATAATCACAATACTAATCTAAATCGAGCCCAAAGCAAACTACGATTGTTCAATTTTTAAAAGCTACATTTATGAGGTCCATGGATGATTTAATTTATTTACGGCACACCTCAAATCTTTTATATAAGTGTGAGTTCCTCAATCTAATCTTATGAGGGACATGGATTATAAATATTGCTTGGCATGGCACGCCTCAATTTATTTCAAAAGATTTTATTATTTGAAGTTGTTATGATCGGGTTACATGAAATAAACCCCCGAATTTGGGAATTAGACACCATGACTAAGTCAAGGGAATCGTACCCATAACCACGATTGTTTGTTATAAAACGTGCTTAAAGCAAGCTACAGATGTTCGCTAACCAATCAAAGATCAACCGAGAAAAGCTAATATTTGAGTAACTAATACAGCACCACTCATGTATGAATATAAAATCAATAAAACTTATATCTCTCGAAAGTTGATCACTGAAGTTCGTTTTGACATCATGCTTCTTTTATTGAATCACAAATTACCTTATGGGCAGTCAATCCTAGAACAATCAAATGTGGGTAATTTTTACCAAATTTCTTTGTATATTACCCATCATACAAACCCCTTTTGAAACATCTACCCGTCAAAAGAAAAACAATTGAAAAAAATAGAAAACCCCAAAAAAAATCTGGAAATGATAATTAAAAAAATCATATACTTTAAGAAAACATGCTATTGGAATTGAATTACTGTAATCAAGAAAATAACACCATCTAAACTCTCTTGGTAGATTGCTTAACTCACGTCTAACATACTTGATTTCATGGAACACCACAAGTTTGGGAAATTGGAATCAAACTCAGATATTTCATAACACCTTAAGATGTTACTGATTCATAAAACATAGCAGTTGAACTCATGTAAGATCCATCCAACAAATTCAGAAGCAATTCTAATCAATTCATCAATATACATAATCAAGAATACAGAAGATTCTAGTGTGCACCTTAAGAGCAGGATAAACAGAGAAAACAATAGCTGAATGAAGGCTAGTGGAAGTGCAAAGATCAGCAGATCCCAAAGCAACAGAGAACGAGCGAGGAACAACAATCAACGGGCCAAACTTGCCAGCGGCAGAAACAGTAAAAATTTCTGATTTCAATTTCAAAATTCCAGTTGCTCAGTTTTTTTGTCTTAATCATTTCGCGTGCGCTCCTGTTTTTCACTTTTATCTTCTGAATGGCGTTCTTGTGTGTGCTGATTTTTGGGGGTCAGCTACGGTGAGAGGTCGTTGATTTTGTTGAAGAAGAAACAGAACTGGATGTGAGCTGCTCTTTTAGACTTAGGCGTTTGTTGATGTGCTAGATTCTGGGTGAGTAGCTGATGGAGATAGGGTCGTCTGGTGTGAGGTGAAGGAACAACGACTGACTTGGGTTTTGCTGGTTGAAGATAAAGAACTCGCTTAGGTCTTTTGTGAAGAAAATGAAGTTTTGGGGGAGGGGGATCTATTGCTCGATGGGAATGGCGTTGATCGATGTCTAGGGGTGTTAGGTCTCTGATGATGTTAGGTCTAGGGTTTTAGTTAAAAGGGGGTAAAATGGGTTGGGCAGGGGGTCAGGTAGGGAGATTAAGCTCAGCATTAATTTTGGCCCAATCAAGTTTAAACCAGCCTTTTCTTTTCAATTTCATAATTTTTTCTTTTGTTTTCTTTTTCTTCATTTAATTAAAAATCCTAGATTATCTAAAAATATAAAATTAAACTAATTACAAAAATTATAAAAGCTACTTAATCCTAAATTAAAAGAGAAAGATCAATAAACATAAAATTAATAGCCAAAAATATTAAATGAGCTATTTTTGTGATTTTCAAATTTTATGAAACAAATAATTACTGATTAATTATAAAAATATAAAAACAAATCCTAAATGCAATGCATGATATTTGTGTATTTTTCATGATTTAAATAAAAATTAAACATGCACAGATAAATGTAAATAATTAAGAAAATTCTACAAAAATTCCTAAAATGGCAAATAATTAACAGAAACCCTATTTTCTTGGAATTTTATAGGAGTATTTCGTATAGGGAAAAAATCACACGCTCACAATAAGCCCTCAATAAGGCAATTCCAAGCTCACGAGTAACGGCTCCCGAGCCTAAGCAAACTCGATGACTAGGAGACTGTCACCAATCTCCATTCATTTAAAAACCCGAGGACATAAGACCCCAAGAGGGAAGACTTGGTCTAGTAAGACCTATTTAAGGCAGCAACAAAAACTGTAAGACCTCAAGCAAAGCATGAATCATACTTGTACCAAGTATCAACAAAAAATTAAGACCTGAAGCAACACATGAATAATACTTGTACCAAGAATCAACAAAACTGCAAAACCTCAAAAGGCATGAAAATTTTGTAAGACCTTACTACAGGCACAAACTCAATCCTGAACATTAGGCTATATGTCGGATTTGTAAGACTCCTGAAAGGGCATTCCCTTGATGTAGACACCTAAAACTACTACACTCGGGATCAAAAATGGCTCCAGCTAAACATAAATGGCTACGGTCATACGGGTGTACCAACAGAATTAATGCGACTCGGGGACGCCCGACCGTCGCTACAAAATCATAGGCCATTACATCGAATCTACTTCAAAATGAACCGGTTAAACAGGCTACCCTCGATAGGCAAAAGAGCTTCGACCATGTCAGCTCCAAATCACAAGGCTTCGAGCTACTCAGCCTATGAGCCAAACCTTCCAAGGTGCTCGAACATCGCCGAAAATGACTTGAAATCAAGGTTCTTCCTGAAACAACGACGGGCCAGGCAAAATCATTTCAAAAAGTCATTAACAAGAGGAAAACAAAGCCTACATATGCCTAAGGGCAAATTGTAAGAGCCATTGTCTCCAACCTAATGAGCTCCAGGGCCACACGCACTAAAAGGTCGCAACGACCAAAAGCGTAAGAGCCACTATCGCCAGCTTAAAGTTTTAAAGCTTGAGGGTCAAAATAAGCTTGAGTCGTAACCCGATTCGGAGACCAGACCCAAAATAGTTAAATATACATGCCTAAGGTCAAAGCGTAAGAGCCATTGTTGCCAGCTTAATAAGCCTCAGGGCCACACATATAGAAGGGCACTTCGTCCCAAGACGTAAGAGCCATTCTTGCCAGCCCGCACAAATACAAAACTTGAGGGTCGATTGAGCTCGAGTCGAAACCCGTCTCGGAGACTGAACCCAAAATAGTTAAAATACATATGCCCAAGGGCAAAGCATAACAATCGTTGTTGCCAGCCTAACGAGCCTCAAGGCCGTACCACAAATTTAATGATTTCTAGTAGCTCAAAGGTCGAATCGACATGGTTGAAATCTTGACAAATAGAAACATAGAAGACACAAATTGCAGGGTTCCCCCTTATACATACAGGTGATAAAATACAAGCTCCATTCACAATGTACTATGAAAGCTATGTACAAAAGAACAAGGTAGGAAATAAATGTCCCCCCTCGGTGACTATGGCCCGGCATCCCCTTCCACCCCATCTTCAACATCGGATAGAAGGAACTTGGCATCATACTTCTCCGCTTTGGCTTGCTCGATCTTTCCCGAGAGATAAAATCCCCTGGCATGAATCTCCTCGTGAACTTCGCTCTATAATTTGCACCTCGCATACTCCTTTCTACTGCTTGTACGATCAAGGGCTCTTTTCAGTTCAGCTTTAGCAATGGCAGTGTTACAACCCATATCCACATGCGTTAGTTCATGCCATATATTAGTTAACATAAATCCAAGAAGGAATTACCTTTGAGATGATAAAACGTTAATCCTATTGGTCTTAAGTGATACAAGGGTATATAAGGGTGATTAACAAGTATTAGAAGTTAAACGAATCAAGGATGTTGTAACTCGTATTTTTAGGTAAACCTAGAGGTTCTTAATACACTCAAAAGGTAATGTATTAAGGTATTTGAATCATATAATATCTTTATCATAAGTCTTGAAGTCAAACGAGTTATGAAACAAAAGTCGACAAATGTTGTCGCAACTCAGGTTCATAATTTTACTTAAACATTAGGTTAAATGTTTCTAAGCCTTTCTCCTAATTTACAAGGGATTACGGGGTGATCTACCCACGAAATTAAATATATATGAGTCTAGTTTCCAACTCATTAAACCTTTTGTCAATACGATCTTGTAGTATAGAGATATTCATATTTTCGCAAGCCTGCGCAGATTGGTAGATGACAAGTAGGTGCATCACCTACTTGCCAAAATGATAGAACAAAATTAAAAGCCCTAAGTCGGCCAAGAGAGGACTTTTAAGGGGTTATGAACTCAGTTATTTCATCTATTTTTCAGACCCTTAAAACCAAAGTTAACCCCTACAACCCCTCCCCAAAAATCCCACACAAACCCTAATCGATTTTCCCTCTCTTTCAAGTTCTATGTCAAGGTAAAACCTAGAGTTTAAAGTACCAAGGGAAGGGATGAGTTATCCAACAAGTAAGGTCAGTTACTTCCATCTTTCATACAGTTTTCTCTACTATGAATTCATGGTAATTCGTTCTACACATGTAAGAATTCACGGGACGGTGATGGGAAGTCGTGAGTTTGAGTTATTTACTTGTAGCGGACTGTTTTGTGTTGCTATTGGGCTGCGTGTTTTACTACTGTTTTGTGGGGTTTTGGAGGTGGAAGGGTGTGGATAAACACCATATATATGTAGGGTTGTGGGCTGATAGTTATTAGTAACATTTCCGGGTCGTTTGACACGACTACGGTGGCCGTCGTATGTATGATGTAATTAGGTTGTGCGTAGACTGTTTTGGGAGGCTCAAAATGTTTATTATTGACGTTGTTTGGGATGTTTTGTGATTGTTTTGAACGGTGTGAAGTCATATATATATGGGAGGTGCTGTCCATTTCAACATAAAATAGGTTGTGGTCGATACATAATAGTTATGACGCTTAAATGATAACGATAGTATCGTTTCTCTTATTGTAGACTAAGGAGTTGTGACAATTGCATAGCTTGTGATTGGGGCAGTATATACAAGGTATGTGAGGCTATCCCTTTTCTTCTTTTGCATGACTCTGATTGTACATAATGTAATGAACGAGCTTCCAAAGATACTCTACTCTTAGAAGCTAGCAGTACTTACATTGCTTTCCCTCTTATGGAACGATTGATGTTAATGTTGCTTCTCTTATTCTTATGTTATCAATGTTGTTGGTACTTCCTGATTCTTATAAGGTTCATAGTGAAGAGTTAGTCCTAATAACGTGTACAGAGGATACCGACCTTATGTCACTCCGAAAGGTTTAGAATGTGATTCCATGAGTCGAGCATGCATTATATATATGTATCTATTTTACTCTACCGAGCCGCGCTATAGTTGGCCGGGTATGACACCTATTGTGCAACCACTGATCAGTTGGGTTTCACCGAGCTCCACGTGGCCGGGTACGATTCTACCGAGCCTTATGACGGCCGGGTACTTTTTACCGAGCCTATTATGGCTGAATAGGATATGATGATGATGATTCCCACATAGGTGTATGTTTTTAAAGTTTATGTATACATACATATGTATCATGTATTTCATGTCAGTAGCCCTCAGAGGTACTAAGATGTTACAGGTTGTATATTCTCTATCCCTGCTTACATTACTGTTTGTATTTATGGTTCCCTGCATTACATACTCAGTACTTTATTCGTATTGACGTCCTTTTGTTTGTGGATGCTGCATGTCGTGCTACAGGCCCTAATAGACAGGTAGGTGCAGCTCCCCCACCACAGTAGGTTATCAAGTTCAGCAGTGATTGGTGAGATCCCTTCTCCGGACTTGCCGTGGTCTTGGTATGCATTTTTGTTATAGACATGATGGGTATTTGTAGCACTTATGTTCATTTAGAGGCTCATAGACAAGTGTCGACTCATGTATAGTTTGCTATGCCTTGTCGGCTGGTTTTTGTTGTATAGTCTTTCATGGTAGCGTGGTAGCTCGTACCTTATATGTAGTTTCTTGATTGTCTGGTCATCCCCTACTATGTATGTTCATGCCATCATGTTTTATTTTTGGTTGTCCATGATCCATGTCTACCATTTATATTGATCTCATCAACCTTAAAAGATAATAAAAAAAAAGTTAGATAAAATGTACGTTGGTGCTCGGCAAGTATGGTCGGGTGCTAGTCATGGCACTCCAGTTTGGGTTGTGATAGGCAGCACTCTTCAAATAGGCCGACGCTTTCTATCCCGCCCTGGTGTTTCTCATCACAAACTCCACCTGGACATTCACCACCTCGGCCTTCGCCTTCGAAAGCTCAGACGAAAGCCTTGCAAACATATTCGCCTGTGCAGAATCCTTTGCACGAACGGTCTGGATTTGTACCTCAAGACCAGAAACCATGGCTAGAGCACTCTCTTTGGCCGCAAAATGGGTACTTACATGCGCCTGCAACTCGTTGATTTAGCGTTTAGCTCAACCTACCTTGCCCAGCGCTGTCCCAGCTCCTTCGGCTTGTTCTCCAACTGAAATATCAAAACATCAAGCCGCTGAGATGAAAAGGGGA